GGCTTAATGGACTCAATTAGTCTTAATGTAGAAATGCAAAAACCTACAAACTTTGTTTAGGCAATGAATTTGGCACAAGCCTTTGAAAAGAAGTAGCAGCTAGGAAAAGCGACAAACATGCGAAGAGGACCTTGGCAAAACACAGGTTTGAACACTAAAGGCACCAACATAGCAGCCACAGTTCCCTTTCTTACTCCTAAAAGTAGCTTCAGGCAAAATAGGGTAATAGTGGCAGCATTTACTTTTATCTAGAAGTTGACTTGTGCGGAGATGGTAAAGCGAAAAGCTAAGGGACTATGCTATAATTGTGATGAACCATATTCATCCGAGCACCAATATCAAAAATTATTTTGGTAGAGGATCACAATGACATTGTGCAGACCAAGACGAGTGTAGAAAGTTTGAAATATCTAAATTTCAAGCTTGAAGACAAGCTCTTTCTCTAAGAGGGGAGTAATGTTACGAATGCGTTTGTAAGCAAGACGTATGGGAGTTATGGGATACAAAATAAGAAAGTCAACAATGCCAAATGTTATGAATCCATTTGTAGGCAAGACATATGAGAGATATGGGATACAAAATAAGGAAGTCAATAGCGTCAAAAATTGAAAAGAAGACAAACCATAATTTATTTTTAATGAGAAGAGCTTATCTTAGTAAGTATTTTCATTGCAATTAAAAGTCCTTAATTTTATTTCTTAATTTTAATTTTCCTATTTTGCAAGAATAATTTTCTTTATAATCTCTATTTAAGAGAATAATTAGGAAAGATTAAAGTAAACAGAATTTCATTTAAATTTATAGAGGTTTAAGACTCTTTCTAATAAGTCTAAAGTTATGAGCTCCTTTTAATGAGTTTTATATATATATATATATACACACACACACACACACATACACACATATCTATAATCATAGGTTTTTTACAAAGTAAGAATTATAACAAAGAAAAGACTACATCAATTGAAGCAAATTTCCCCAGCACATTAGCTTGTGACTAGATCCGTGCCTCGTGAACATAACACCTCCCCCCCAGATTCGTTAGGAATTAGCTCCTTACCAAAATGCTCGTGGTAGTATACTAGTTTTGCTCGATGTTTGCGAACAAAATTCAAGCACACAAAAAATGAATTCCTTATTCAAAATCGTGTTCCATAATGCTCGATCACCTTCGATTAAGTCATGGAGACCTCTGAATATGCTAACACAAAGTGGGTTATTATTTCTTATTGATAGTTATGCATATTTTGAGAATACTAAAATTTAATAATTCTGCCTTTGAAAGTAGTATGGGAAGATTTCTTGAATTATCTGGCTTATGCTTAGAGCTAACCCAAGAAATTATCAAGTGATTAGGGATGTAAATGGGTCGTGTGCGTGTGAAATATTGAAATATACATATTCATATTCAAATAAAAATTTAATACTTATGTCCATACCCATATCCAAATAGGTAAAGAGTTATTTACCCATATCTATATCTATTTAAATATTATTTATCCATATCTATTTAAATACTATTTACCCATATCTAAATCCATATCTATTTTAATACTAATTACCCATATTCATATTTATTTAGTAAATAATTTGGTATGTAACATAATTATAGAAGTCAAAGAGATTTCAAAAGAATTACAATTTTTTTAAAAATTTTAAAAGTTAAGAAAAGATAATTTTTTAACAAAAATGGATAATTTTAATTCATTAATTGCAATGAGAAAAGTTAAGAAAAGTTAATGTTGTTTAGGGAAAAAAACTTTTAAAAGTACATTTAAAAATTTAAAAATTATCAAGTATTACTTTAAAAGTGTTAAGAAGTATTGTTAAAAAATATTATCTATTTTATTAGATATAAAACTATGATTCTTCTTTCTAATAACTCAGCATTTGATGAAATTTGGTATGTTTTGAATTTCAAATTTATATTTTTAACATTTAGATTAAAAAAATAGGATTTGGATTTCATGAAATTTGATGGGATTTTACTTAACTTGTTAAAATCTCATACAATCCTATCAAAACTGATAGGATTTGATAGAAATTGGATTTAAAAAAATTTTATTTTTCAAAATTTAAATTATTAACATTTTTTACTAAAATGAAAGAAAATTAAAACAAAACAAATAACAGAATTACAGATAACTCTGTTTCTTATTTGTTCAAGAATTTCTTAACATATATACATTTAACTCTGTGTGTGTGATCTACTTTCTTTAATTGATTTGAATTTATAATTTTTTTTGTTTATTTAGGTTTTCTTTTCATTTACATTCATCACCCTTCAATTTACTCTCAAATTTAATATTTTTTTATTTAATCTATTTTCTTCAATTTATAATTATTATTCTACACTAGTAGTCATAAATACGAGAGATTGAATTAGAGAGATTGACCATATATACATTTACCTATCAAAGTATAATAGGTGCAAATTATTTGAATATTTTTCCATTCACAATTATCTTTGAAATAAAGAATTTCAATCTGCACAGCACAATTTAATTGTATATATTAAGCAGATAATATTAAAAATATAAGATTTTCAAATTGAACAGAGTAACTAGACAATTTATATTTTCAATCATCATATTATAGAAAACTATTTTCAACCTCTATTTTATAGCCACTTAAAAGAACAGTAAATCGTTATTGCAAATTTCTATCATCTCAACCATTATGTGCTTTGCTCTAAATCAATCAAAAACTTTAAACATTTTTTAAATTGACTTGAATTAATTCATTATAATTTTAGTAATATATTTTATTATAATTATAATTTTTATTATTTCAAATTATAGTTTTTATTAATAATGGTATTTTTTGTTTTGTTTAATATTTATTTTAGATGTCAAAATTGAATAATAATTTGGTCACTTTACTTTTAGTGTGGTAAACACATATAAGTTATGTTTTATACTAGTTCAAAGCCATTATTTTTTTGTCAAATATTTAATAGAATAATTATTAAATATGAATTTGTATAGTTATTAAAGTTTAGTTTTGCCATTGTAATTTAATTTTGTTACATGTTATTTTTCAATTTAGGGGCTGTTTGCTTTGGGAGATAAAACAGGATAAGATAAAATTATCCTACCTTATCTCCCTTTATTATGCATTCACTACCTTTGTAACAGAATGGGATAAAGTATCTGGGTAGCATCCTTATTAGCTCATGTGTGATAATTTTATTTTGAGATAGGCTGAGAGATAAATTTCTCCCATTTCTATAGTAAATTTGTTTTTTCTTGGGACAATCTTGCCCTTCCTCTGCAAAATCACCGCCAACCTCTCCTCTGTGAAACCCACCACCGTCGCCCCTCCCATTGTCGCCTCTCTCGCTGTCCTAATCAGCAAGCGCCTACGTGAGCAGGTGCCCAATCTGCGGGCACTTGCATGAGCAGGTGTTGGATTTGTAGGCGCTCAGAGATCCAACGCTGGCTGGCAAGAGGAGTGATGGTGGGAGGGGCTCACGTAGGCCTTGCAGTTGCCAGAGAAGAAAGGTGAAGGTTGTGAGAATATGAGCAAATTAGTAATTTGGTTCATTATCTAGTTTATTATCCGGATTGCTATTAAATTCAACCGAACAGATAATAAAAATATAGTTATTGTAGGGGCAGGATAAATATTATCCTACCTACCCTACTAACCTTTATTAGGGGTGTTCACGGGTTCGGTTCGATTCGGTTTTGGACTTAAACTAAACCGAACCGAACATGTCGGTTTTGGTTTTCATGGAACATGATCATTTTTTTTTAAAAAAAAAAAACCTAACCAAACCAAACCAACTTAAGTCGGTTTGGTTTGGTTGACATGTTCGGTTTTGCAATTTTTTTTAATTTGTAAAAAAAATTAATATAAATATAAATATATATAATACTAATATAAATATATATAATATAATTTATACATATAAAATATATATAAATACAACATAAATATAAATATATATAATATCTATATAATATATATATATTAACAAATATAATTCATTCGGTTCGGTTCGGTTTTATTTTGAGACAAAACTGAAACCGAACCGAACTGATCGGTTTATGAGATGTTATAACCGAATTAAACCGATTCCTTTCGGTTTGGTTCGATTTTTGGTCGGTTTGGTTTGGTTCGGTTCGGTTCGGTTCGGTTCGGTTCGGTCTAGTCAGTTTTGTTAAGTTGTGAACACCCCTAGCCTTTATCTTTACGAGACATCCAAACACCCCCTTAATGATTACATATTTTTATATAAATAGTTAAATTCTTTCTTTTTACAAAATATGCTTTTATAATCTTTCAAAAATCTTTGAATTTCCAATATTACATATCTTATGAATTATGATGTTCATATAAGTAAAACATCTTAACATCTTATACATAAATGTGTATAGATATTTATATATACATATATATATATGTATAAATGTATAAAATTCAGATATATAATACAGATAATTGAATATAGGTATATGAGTATATGAATACGAATATATGGGTATGAATATTTGAGAATTTGGATATTATTACATAAAAATTATATCTAAACCCGAACCGAAAAAAAAATATAATAACATATAATTGAATCCGACCCAGAAACCGATTTGTAATGATCGAATATGAATCCGAGTTGGGTAGATGATTTGGGTACCCACAAAATCTGAATTCCTTTACATCCCTACTCGTCATTCCTTAATATGTGGATGATCAGCCACTCCGCAGAACAACACTCAACACCCCCCTCAAGAAAACAAAAAAAAAAAAAAAATCACCCACCCAAATAAGTTTAGACGCATGATAACTAAAAGACAGAGAGAAACTAGATATACTAGGTATATGATATATCTCATTCTACGTCCCCAAGAAATACCATCTGGTCCACATTCCTTAAACAACCACAAAGTGCATGCAGTCTGAAACAAAGAGTAACCTTGATGTTTTAAGAGAAAAACAGATATTCATCAAACAAAGCATACAAAACTAGTCCCCAAACGGAGCCATCCAAACTACTCTCAACTCCCTTTCCCTTGTTGGATTTGCTGAAGAAGAGCAGCAGCCAGCTGCAACGTGGCCTGAAGGCGTTTCTGGGGATCTGCATCTTCCTCTTGCATGACAGAAGTTGGCATCTGTTGAGGCAACACAGGCAGGCTCGACGCTGGCTGCCCAAGCCCGAACTGAGATGAAGAAGCCTCGGGATATTTCTGAGGTGCCCTTAATGAGTTTTCAGAATAATTCATGGCATTGGATGGCCTAAACTCTTCTGCTGTAGATAAGCCAGGAACACCCCCCGCACTCCCTGACTGCCTTGAATGCCCAAGAAGGGATGATGCAAGTTGAGCGAGTTGATCAGGCTGAAGGGTTGACGCAGGCATAGATGAAGAAACTGGAGGCCTAGTTTCCTGATGTATACCTGAAATTCCAGTGCTGTAACGACTTGAACTAGTTTCCTGCACAGCTCTGGGCACGACTGTGTTATATCCCTTGTAGCAGAATCGTCTGCCTTATATGATGCTTGTGACACAATATTTCTAGCACCAAGATTTGAATTTTGTGGATGGTGAGGTGACCAGTTTGGCCCAAATGGAGGGCTTAGATGACGTAGCATTTCGTTCCTGTTTTCATTAGTGGGTCCTGACATACTTCCAGGAGCATGGGGAGAGCCTGAAATTGAGGCAGGTGAAACTCCAGATTTTCCCGTATTAGAAAATGCCAGAACTGGTGGAAAAGGTCCTGAAGGTGACGTTGATTTTGTGTAGGGCATATCTGCTTGTGGTTGTTGAAGAGCAGACTCCAAGTTGGAACCAGTATGCTCTAACCTCAAAACAACACCAGAAATGCTCAATTTACCCGGCACCTTAAGCACTTTCTCTGAGAATTCTGAAGGGGGTACAAGAAACAGGGTGGTTTTATCATCCAATTTAGCCACTGCTGCTCGCTGCTTCTCCTCAAGATAATGCATGAACTCATTATAGTATCCAATATCAGCATCACTTTCTGGAACAAAGAAAACTACCCATGCACTAGCTGCTTGGTAGTAATGCTTTGCAAGCATGTCTAAGCTGGTCCTTGCCGTGCAATCTAAGAATTCAGGCCTACATTATTAATGTAGAAGTGTTAGTATGCAGCCACAATATGAAATTGCCTTTTTCACTGCATTGTTTACTTGAGATGAAATGCAGTATTATATTCATTTTCTTCCAGTCTTACTGGCATTTCAAAAAAGGCCCGATTTGCTACCATGGCATTTGAGAATAACTAATTTATTTCACAAAAAAAGGAGTGAGAACTTTTTCTTACTGAAGAACCATAAACTCCAATTTCTGTTTCAATGATTTTTAAGTTTTGGCAGTGCCAAATTTATAGGAGCTGTAAATGTTTATGAGGTAAAACTTAAAGTAAAATTTTGAAAACATGAATAGAAAGGCACAAGTACTACCAGCCAAGGAGTTTCTACGGCCACATAGGCAAAGGATCTACCACGATAACAGGATTATGGTCTGGTATAATGACTAACGGTCAATAATCCCAATATGCAAAGTAAAGCATCTAAAGGACTGAAGTTAATGACAGAAGCCTGTCATGAGAAGATTTGGAGGTTAAACAAACACTTAGGTTATGTTAACATATCCAAACCTGTGTGACACTACATGTGTGAACTATTCCATAGTCGCATTTATAACTTAAGGAAAATTATCACTTACAACGTCATGTCCAGTACTTTTCCAACAGGAAAGCAGCGGGCTCGACAGATGGAAGTTCCTCCTTTTGCTATAGTCCCTTCCCATTTCCACTCTCCAGTTAAAGAAGGCTGATGGGATTCAGGAGTTGGTCTTCTCCGCTCAACAGGAAGTGAAGGCAATGAACCAGAATGACCCTGAAAGCTATCATAAGATGGATTCCGGCGTTCAATCCTTTCCCCATATGGTTGAGATAAAGCATGGTCAGGGATTTGTTTATACCCAAAAGGTCTCGATTCAAAATTTTTATCGAGGACCTCAGTTGGAGGAATATCATGGAACGTTTTTGGGAAAGGATGTCTTGCCTGGTCTGAACCTGAGAGAGGATATTCTGGGAGCTCGTTATCTGGAGGAAAATAGCCAGTTTTTATTTTCTTTGCTCCATGAAAGAGCAAGACATCTTCAGGCAAGTCCCAAGAATCATCATAGGATGAATCTTTTCTAGGAAACTCAGGAGAGAAATCACGGAAATGAGCATCTCTGTCTCTTGAAGAAACACGTCTGTACATGCTTTCTGGTAACCCTAGTTCAGCATCTGGCTCTTGGAATCTTCTCTGTTCAAATAAATTTCCCTTATGGCTGAAAGCCAGTATATCAGGATCCTCAGGTTCCAGACTTGATATATAAGGTGGAGATCTCATGGTGGAATCTCCACTGAAACTACCAAAATCTCTTTCATGGAGGAAGATCTCAGACGATCCTGTCCGGCCATATGACTTCAAGCGGGGGAGGAAGGGGCATTCATAGAGTTCCTTCCAATGTTGGATGAGCCAGACTCGCCCTTTGCAAAACAGATATGCACACGAGGATTGCCAAATAATTTCCCCTGAAGTGTTTCTTTTGCCCTGCATGCTGCTGACATGTTTTTGAAACGAACAAAAGCATAACTACGACCTGGAAAGGTGGTAATCTTCTCAATTTCACCAAATGGTGAAAAGCTTTCCTTAAAATCACTTCATCTACCTTCAACAAAGCCGGAAACCCAATCCATAGGACCTCACTTGGTGGATCTGCATTCTTATCAACCATCTTAGGTTTATCAGGATAAGGGTCCAGATCAGAATGACGCACTCTAGAATCTCTCTGTGAGAATGGAGGTCCTCTTAATGAAGACCATTGCTCATCTCGGCGAGGCAAGTAATCTTCGTCACGTGGTGGTAATGATTTTTCCTGTGACATAAAATCATATCAAGCATAAAACAACTTATTTACTCCAGAATTTTATTTTATTTTTTTTACATTTTTTTTTGTTGGGGGGGGGGGGTGAGGAAGAAAAATTATTTACTTCTTCAGGTCACTGGAGACTTTGATTTACCAATTAATATAGAACTAATTTGAATCAAGGGTGAAAAGCTTCCTTGGCACTGAAGGTACCATCCACCAAACATGTAATATACACTCATGAGTACAAGCAGAACAGAAGACAAATAGAATCATATTAATTTATCGTATGTGAAATATCCTTCAAAGATACAAATAAAATAATCAGATTATCAGAAAAAGAAAAATCAAGGGGACCTACAGATTCAAATTCTACACTAACCTTAAACAAGGAGATACTTGCTAAAAGCTTCTCAAGCTGGTTTTGATTTTCAATGCTTTTAAGTATTGGGTTAATTTTTGGTTGAGAGAATTGAGAAATGGCTGGATGCCTTACTGGGTAACTGATATGATATTACTTTGGAGGAAAGAAACATTTATTGTAGTCAAATACATCTGAACCAGTCTAAGAAGAACTTTCATTTTCCAAATAATTTATATAATTATGTAGTCCAGAATTCAGAAACAATGCAGGTGCCAAATAGGCACACAACCACACTTAATCACCGGATCACTCTGTCAGCAGGTAGTGTGCATATACACTGCGGAAGGCAAATCCTTCCTACACTTGTAAAAAAGTGCACATATACAATATAGAAGAGATTTTATTCAGATTAAGTAGCCTTAAACCTAAGGAAAATAACAGCAGGGACCCCAGAGACAGACAATCTAACCAACGTGGCAGGCAATCCCAAATATGCAAGCATTTTCAGGGCAGTGATAGATTATCCTATCACAAAACATCATCTTAGGGAAAGAGGAGCAGTAAGCTTGCTTCTAGCAAGAGATAACTATAAATCAAATCCAAATTACTAAAGCAACATACAAGACTCAAAAAGAATGGCACATCACGAGCACTTGAGATAACAACAAGGCACACTTCCATTTTTTTTTTTTTTTCTTTGTCGCGCGGGGGGGGGGGGGGGGGGGGGAGAACAGACAGGATTTTAACCTCAAAAGCATCAAAAACCAAGAACCTTGAGTTCTAGATTTAGAAATATTAGCAAATTAACACAAAAAAATCATGGTAGTCCAAGCATGCTCTAAAAACTAAGGTCAATTAAAGGAATTTGCCAATAAATCGAACAGGTGTTTATAATTTTCTTTGGAGTACTGGTTGCATAAGAGGAGAGGGATTACTACCATGCCAAGTCCCTAAAAGGAGGATGTATGGAGACTGCTGAGATGGTGAGACAACCTTAATTTTTGTCCAAATCTGTGGGTCCAATCTAGAGGAGAACTTATGAGCCGGGAGCATTTTTTTTTTTTTTTTCTGTTGGAGATCTAGATTTGATTAGGGATCTTATTTAAATTATATTTTTATTTTATTTATTTTGATTTAGATTAGGTTCAGATTTATTTAGCATATAAAATCCAAATTTTTAGAATTATCTCAAGAGGGGGACCTCATCTTTTGAAGAGTCTTCAACCTTTAAGAGTCCTTTCCCCTTTAGGACTTCTTTCTATAAAAATGAAACTAATTTCCATTATTTTTTTTTGGGGGGGGGGGGGGGGTGTTCCAACAGTTCAAGACAACCAAAGATTTCCAACGAGAAGTAAACAAGCCCTTCAACCATTCCAACCGTACTTGGGAAGAGAAACAACAAAGTCCAGCCAACATAAATACAAGGAATCGCAATGTCCAAGCCTCAAAGGTCAGACAATCTGACTAGGAATTAGGTTTGTAATTGAGCTCTTGTTAAGGTTTAAATTAGGGTTCTTCTCATTCCAAGTTGTAAAGCATGTTTGGTTTTCATATTGATATATAAATCAGTTTTTCCCTGTTACTCATTACTGATTGGATTTGGATCTTCATTATTGACATCTTTAATCTGTTTATCATCGGTGTTTGCGTTCCAGAAAATTATTGATCAACTTATGATTATTGGATGTTAAGCGAGAAATTTAAATCAAAATTTGCATCCTTGACATTCATTCATGTAGAACACAACAAAGCAGAGGTAACATCAACTTAAGTTGGAAAGAAATGCTAAACAGGTAATTTGGACCACAAAATCCACATTTCTTCACATTTCCAAGCCACTAGAAAAATCAATTTCAAAAGAGGTTCAATATTTTGATAGACATGGCCAAGCAGACTATACAAAGAAAGCACTTAAAGCACTTAAAACCTACGTATTAAGATTTCAATTACTGAGACTTTAAAACAGATTCAAAACAATAGTTCCTGAACGATATAGCAATATAAACATGATCAAGTACAGCCTCGAGAAACAACAACAAAGAGAAAACAAAGCCAAATTACCAAAGTTCAAACTGAGTGCCCAGCTGGTGAACATTGTTGAGTAGCTTTTAAGATAAGTTTTTGTCAGAAAAGCAGTACAAAAGCCCATCTTTTAAAACTTAAATCCAAAAGCCAATTGGAAAAGTGGTACTGAACTCATTAGATTCCTATGGATTAGCAGACTCCATCAGTCATTAGTCAGTCCACAGTCTGACTTTGTGTGACAATATAAATAGTTTCAGAAGATAGGATGTTCAAGGAATAGTCAAATACTCCATAAGGATTATGAGCTTAAACCAATCCAATGATCAGAATACTTTGTCTCTTGTGCTACCAATTCTAAAGAGGAATAGGAGCATAATAACCATCTAAAATTCAGAAATAGATTAATCATGCAAAACAAGCTATAAGAAAAAATTTAAAAATAAAAGCTAGCTTGTTACAGGTTCCATCTCACCAACCTTTCTCCCTGCATCTTGGGAAGGAAATGAGATGAGAATTGCATTATCAGAAGACAAATCATCCTGGGTTAAAAGTGTTCTTAAATTACATTGATCACTACCAAAGCCATGCTGAAAATTGTGCAGCAGAACTTGGATCAATCAATTATCCTACAGGTGCAACTATAGAAGCTCTGTGAGTGAAAGAAAATTATATGGTTAATTAGAGAATGAAAGGAATTTTAAGTTTACAGGTACAACAAACAGGAAGCCTGACACAGTATGTTTTAAAGGCCATACAATGACTGATTGCCTAACACAGAGGATTAAATGACAGTAACTTTTCTTTCTGCTGACTAAAAGTTAAAACCTCAAGCATATGAAATAGGTGCAGAGAGAATGAGGTATCTTCCAAAACGTTTACTTCAAAGAACAAGTGAAAAAAACAGAAAAGGGAACTGAAAGAAAAGATTGCGGAAGTTAAAAGACATCCTATGATTTTTTTCCCCCTTCTCAAAACTTTCCAATAATGTCCCTTCTTAGCTGAATAATCACTCCTTATTAATCACTCCCAAGATCAACAGGTCCAGGCTTAAGTGGTTCTCACGACAGTAGACAATCCTCAACTCTCTTCATATGCCAATTTTGAAGTTACAAAAGCTGGATGATCCAAGATACTTCCTTGACAAAAGTGATGCCATAAGCAAAATCCAGTTACTATATTTCATGTCCCACAAGAACTAACAAAAAAATAATCATACAACAGAGGTAATCCCCAAAAAATACTCTCACAAGGCTATGATTATGCTAGCCTAATATACCTGGGAGCATGATTGTCAAACGCCAACTGTAACTTTTCACAGCAACGGGTTAAAGAACCAGCTATATAAACTAAACCCCCACACTAATCCATAAGAAGACTAATTCTCCAATAATCTAAAACTGAAGTGAGGCTAAAATACACATTACGCACAACAAATTGGTTGACGAAATTTCTCAAAAACACACATATATTATCTCAAGCCTGGCCAAAATTTGTTGCTAGACTCCCACTGCCTAGGCTTACAAAAGAAATTATCAGAAACACTGAACCATTTACAGAAGCTAGTTAATAACAATGATTGCCCAAGCAAAAAGTCTTCACTACTAGGAAACGACCAATATGTATTATAATAACTAACAATCTGACAGCTATGATCACAATTTACAGCTTATTTGATGGCTAATGGCTCAAAATTAATTACAAATTTGTTAAAGTTCACACATGATGCCCAAGCCCACTCAAAATTTACAACTAGTTTTCACAAATTTACACATATGAACCAAGCCCAATCTTCGAAATTTTAAATCTTCTTTTTATTCATTTTAAAGCTCTTAGAGACAAATTGAACTGCAAAGAAAATCATGCTAAAATTTGATCTCCTCCAATACAAATTTCAGATGGAGAAATTCTGACCACATATGCAAGGGTTTCAGACTACATGGGATTTAAGGTTCGTGCATGGAATAGGAACCCATACATCACAAAGGTAGTCAGTAATCACCTTCATTGCATGATAAGTCAGCTAGAAAGCCAAGCTCTGCTTTTCCAATTTTCAATTTGATTGAATTAATGACATGTTTAGTCATGAATCTCTATCAAAGTTGAGCAGGTGGTTTCTGCTAAAAGAGGATTAACAAAGTGATTATGCTTGATGTGGTGCATCTGGGGGAAGGATAACCCAAAGAGACTTAAACAGCAAGTCATAAAAACCTTCCATTGTTCTGATTTTTTGTGATAAGGAAGCAAAATTGGTTGCTTTGTTGATTAGATAGCAGGTGTTTTTTTTTAGACATCTTTCTTTTCCTTATAATCATTCATATTGCACTTTGTTTTGAAGAGTGTAAAGGTTATTTACCTTTCAAAACAAAATCATAGTTTAATCCAAATGGAGGGAACTCTAGGAAGCACATAAAAATAGGGATGAGAGCCATGTCATAAATAAAACAACAGTGCTATCCTAAAAAATGCTGGTACAAAACAACAAAGAAAATGTTAGTATATATTGTTATTATGGTACACATTGGACCAAGGTGAGAAATAGAGGAAAAGTAAAAGCAAAAAAATGGCACAAAGTGGCTTCAGTAGGACTGTTGTTATAACATGTCCCTATATATGCAATTTGCGCTCAAAT